CATCTGGCCAGGTGACTCCAGACGGGAAGAAAGGCCATGTAGAGAGCGATGTCGCCCACTGTCGGGTACGACTTGAAGATGGAGATGATGGCCAGCTGCATGAAAATCAGGAACACCGGATGCTCCCTGCAACGCGCGCGTGTCATTGGGCCGCTCGTTTTCGCTTGGGGGTTCTATTCTCGGCGTCGGTAGGAGCACTCACTTGAGTTTGATGGCCAGAGGGACGGTGTAGACGAAGACGTTGATCTGAAAGACGCAGAGGAAGAAGAGGCGGAAGTGTTCGAACATCTCGGCGAAAAAGTACCAGAAGAGGCCGACGTTGGGCGTCAGGTCGGGGACGGAGAGGCTGAAGACAAAAGCGGCGGAGGGAGGGTCATCGCACTCCGTCCGCCGTTTGGAACATTGCAATCGACATTTCACACGACAGGATTTTCCGACAGGCGACGTGTCCTAAAGTTCAAACACATTTCAAACTCTCGAACCGTTCGCACACCTGACTCGACCCCTTTTCAGCTAGCAATCTGTTTAGTTTTGACCATGGCTTTTTTTAAATAACATGACACTGCAACAGTGGTGAGAGAAGACAACATAATGGGACACATTCAATTCTGTGGGATCCAAATTCTTCAACCCACACGCTTTTTGCTTCAATTCAATGGGCATTGTGCTGCAGCATAGAACAAACATGAGACTGTGACCCTGCAGCAATATGAGTCATTCTTTGTTGGGAATAAAGAATATTGGCCGATGAGAATTGTTCCATTATCTGTCCACATGTGTTGCATGGATGCTATTGCTTCGCCTGTCTACGGCGTTTCCCATTACGTGTCAGCATTAATTAAGCTAGCGGCGGCTATGTCGTGGTTTTCAATACACAATTTGTGGGATCCAAATTTGAGACTTGAATGCAAGTGATACTCTTCCATCAAAGTGGGTTCTTTGTTCAGGTTTTTATACTTGTACTCGAGTATGGTTTTGAGGCACTTCAGCACATACTCACATGAAGCCGTAGACGGAAGGCAGGAAGTCCCACGAGCCCAGCAGGAAGAAGGAGAGGGCCACCATCACCAGGAGACTGCCCAGATACATGAAGGCGTATTGGGCCACGAACCACCAGAAACTCAGCCGATACGCGTTGACGGGGATAAACTGACGCTGCACGGACACACACACACACACACGCGGCATGATTTTTCCAGTCGACCCAGGAATTTTTGTGAGGGGGTCGGTCAGCATCTTGTGGCTTCTTGGTGCCCGAAGTGAAGTAGCTCCTGCATCAAAGTCAGTTGAGGAACTTCATTGAGACAAAGGCAGAGCATCGAGGTCATCTTGGCGCTGGGGAACTTTGTTGAAGTGAGATAAGAAGCTTCATTTCGACAGAGGCGGTGCTATGAAGCCATCTTGTGACATCTTGGGGCCAAGGAACTCGACAAAGTGAGTTTCGATAAATGGAGTCCGCTGCTCGCTTGTGGTATTGAGAAACAACAATTAAGTGAGTTGGAGAACTTCACTTGGGGGTGGGTGGGGAGGGGGGTAGTGCTTTATTATTATCTTGTGACGATGAGGAACTACAATGAAGCGTCTTGAGGATCTTAAATTGTTGGAGTGAGTTAAGAATCTTCAATTCAACAAAGGTAGTGTTTAGAAGACATCTTGTCACGTTTTGGTCTTAAGGAACAATGCTGAAATGAATTGAGGAGCTTGGTTAAGACAAAAGTAGTGATTTGCTACCGCCTTGGCCATTTGGATGCCAAGGAACAACAGTCAAATGAGTTGAGGAACCTCACTGATATCAATAGTAGTGATTTGGCACCATCTTGTGGCATCTTGGTCCTATGCAACTACATTGAAGTGACTTGAGAAGCTTCTTTCAGACAAAGGCACTCATCTTGTGCCATCCTTGGACGATGTCGAAGGGACTTCAGTCGGACAAATGTAGTGCTTTGGCTGCATGTTGCTACCAAGACACTACCGAGTTGAGCTTCATTTAGACAAAAGTCGTGATTTGCCACATTCTCGTGGCATCTATGAGCGAATTTCAATCTTTTTCGGCTGGCGTGAACAAGCTCACCTGCATAAGGTAGAGCAGAGCGCCGACGCACAGCGTCAGCGGGTAGAGGCTCTGGTATGTGGCCAAGGCCAAGAAAATGGCGCTCAGCAACATGTTCCCTGTGCACAAAACAAACGCGTGAGACCGTGCGCCTTCCCGGCGTGAGGTCGCGCGCGAGCGACGCCTTGCCAAGACAGCCGGCTCACCTTTCACCGTGGCCAGGATGAAGAGCGACACCACAGCGTTGTTCAGGCAGCACGTGGACTTGGCGACGCAGGACAGCACGCTGAACGGGTTCAGGAGGTAACTGCGGGACCCGACCACACGGGACATCAAAAGGCAGCTTTTTTTCTTCGCCGTTTTTGCCGCGTCGCGTCGGCAACGAGGGAAAGCGTGATGACGTCACTTCCTCGTGTGAGGAAGGCGAGAGGTTTCAAGTGGTGCATTCAAGTGCGCTCAGTTTGTTCGAGAACCGAAATTTGGTCGTCATCCGAGGCGTAAAAAACTCGAAAACTGATTTGGTCGAGAACCGAGACGTTTGAGAACCGAGGTTTGACTGTACCTCGACAGATTAATTACAAAAAAAGATATGAAAAAAAGAAAACATTTTTCTCAACATTCTCCGCCCCACACGCAACAATGACGAAATTGGCAACGGCTTCGCCAGACGTCACAACAGACTTGCATTTGAAATAAAATGATGTATGACGAGAGCATTCAGCTGAAGCGGAAACTGATGTTTGTTCTGTAAAAATCGCTCATTTTGCGAATGCGGGAAGGATTTGCTTTTTCTTCGGCTCGGTACTCACAAGAGAGCCGCTTTGAGGGGAATGTAGTACATCTCTTTGGGGGTTCGGACCAGCTCGTGACAGTCTGCGGGGTAGCGGTCGGCTTCCAGAGCGAATTTCTGCTTCCTGAACTGGAAACAACCGTTGACAGGAGTTGCCGGTTATCAGTGGACATTGACGATGATTGACGGTCATCACGTTCGTTTGGCTTCCTCACCACTTGCTTGTTGTAGTCCTTCACCACGTAGTAGAAGGCCACCGCCACGATGATGTCGGCCAGCTGGAGAGACAATTGCACCATCTTTTAGCTTTAAGCTAGTCCACTTTCAAGGTGTTGATCGTCATCTTTTTTGGGTTTTTTTTTATCCCGTAATTTTCAAGAGTATAAGATGGATCGTGCCACGTGTAACCGTGTAATGAGAAGCACACATTACTTACGATGAATGTAATCTCTGCATAGTCCACCAGGAAGTGGAAGAGGTAGATGATGAGAGGGGTCTAAGACAGACAGAAAAAGAGACGTATCCATCAATGTTTTCGTGAAAAAAAAAGGGAAGAAGAAGCTATTATGGGTGTGTGTGAACGTGTTCAATCCCTCACCTCATGAAACACATCTCCCGCATAGGGCGACACTCCCAAGTCCAGTAGAGCCAAACCTTCCACAACTTGAAAACCAACAGAAAGAGGATTATTTGTTGTTTTTGTGTGATAGTGATGGAAATAAAAAGTGAATTTTACTCAGATTTTTCACAACCGGTTCGGTCTGTAAGATTAAAAAAAAAAAAAAAGTTTGCTTAATTTAACTGCATAAAGTTTTTAATTAACAGGAAGTACGGTGAACACAAAGGAATAGTATAGAGTTCACAGGGTTCGAAACTCACGGGCTACTTTTGTTTCCTTTTTAATTTTTGCTTTGAAGTAGTTTCTCATTAAAAATTATTATGCAACAACTACAAACACATTTAGGGCTGCAACTAATGATTGTATGAATAATGAATCTGTTGTTTTTTTTTCCTATCAATGAATGAATGCGATTTTCATTTTCACCCCTTTTTTAAAAAAAAATAGTCCATTACTGTATTTCAAATTAACAGTGGTGAAAATGCACAAATGATGATTCGGTTAGTGTTTAGGTGGATAATATATAAGAAAATAGACAAAAATGTTCATGTTTCTCCATAATAAAAGCAGATGTGTTCAAAATGTGTTATTTGAATTAAACAGAAAGCTAAACAGTGAAGACTACAAGAATCTGAGATTTATTGTCGAGCGTCTGAAAATCTGACAATTTAGACGACTGTGTGATAAACTCTCACCGACAGTTTTCTAAACGATGAATTGATAATCAACTCAGCACAACCGTATTTATAGAGCAGTTTAAAACGACCACCGCTGTTTGCAAAGTTTTGTACATGGAGCAAAAATAGTTCATAGAACAACAAATAAAACAATAAATTAATAACGAAGACAAAGCCTGTCAATTATGCAAAGGAGGAAGTGGTACATCCGGACACTTATGACGTCAGCGAAACCAATCAAAGTTGTCCAAGTCTTCCGGTTGAATTCGATGAGCCAGAGTAATATTCAAGGCGTTAAAGTATGAATGTTCTTTTTCACCTTAGCTCGCTTTTGGGACACTGTGTGCATGCAAATAAGAAGCTCACTCGGCAGTGGCTTTGAGGGAAAACGGCCTTTCAAAGTAGAACACAGGAGCGACACTTCACCCGTACAACCAAGCCCCTAATCGCATCTCCCCACGACCCCTCCAAGAGGCCGCCACGCTCACCTCTCTTCCATGCGGTTAACGGGGACACCACCTCTACCCTTTCGGCGATCCAATATGCAAAAGTGGACCTAAAAAGAGCTGCGCGGATAGTGACAGCCACGATCAGCAAGAGCGTCAATGGAGCCGCCATTTTGGCATTTGCACCTATGCGCGAGGCACGCTGGGAAATGAAGTCCGTTGATGGGAATCGACTCACACCGACGTAGACGAACAGATTCACGACAAAGGCACCGTTTGAGATGACTGCCTATTCGCCGTAAACGATTGAGTGCATTTTGTAAATAAATTAATCAAGAAAAAAACATATATAAACTCTTAAAAAATTAAGAACACATAAACCACGAATTTCACTGTTCTAGAGTGCGGATGTATCATTTAGGTGCCGTGATCAAACTACAACAGACGAAGGAAGTCGGAATTCTTTGTAAGAGTTCAATATGAATTGCAGTACGTACCGTAAAGTACAGTACAGGTATATCACAAATGGTTACAGTTTGTATAATAACGTGGGAGAACGAAGATGAACGATTTTAAAATGGCCGCTGGCAACTCTGAGTTGTTTTCCCCACAGAAGTGGCAATACGCGTTATATTAAAATGTTATATTTGACCCGTTGGCGTTCATTTAAAAAGTGATTATTGAGTGAATAGCCAATCGTTTCTCTTTAGCTTTACTTTGAAAAGCCCGAGCGGGAAGTGTACCCGCCTCCCGATTGTGAGTTTGTAAACTTGCCACCTTTAATTTGGTTTCGCTGTCGATTCGCTTTTGAGCGCGTTCACATTTGTTTGATTTTGTCCCATGGCGGGTTTGGAGCTATTGTATTCGTGTTGTGGCGACTCCATCTCATGTCCGCAGGACGCCGTTGTGTGTTTCGTCCACTGGGAGGTCGTCAAAAGCGGATACAAGTGCCTCGGCTCCGGGGATGAGGTAAACACACTCGCGTCGCTTCATCGCGTGTGTCATTTGAAGAGAAGTGGATGTTTTCCTCGGTGCAACTGTCCGGTCCGGCGCATTTGCTTCACTTACTGCTGGGTGCTTTTAGGCGGCGATGCTAAAGGATACATGCTAATGCTAAGCGCTAGGAAGTCATGTGACACCGTCGCATTTTTAAAGGAGACATATTAGGCTTTTTTTTTGAAAGGGTGTCATAATTATCAGGTTGCCCCAGAAGCGTATTGCTGTCACACCAGAGGAAAAAGTTGAGCATCCCGTTTCAACGTGATAAATGTCACGTTTCAAAGTGATATTTCATCACGTTAAAACGTGTTCAATTGTGCGGTAAAACTAAAGAGCGATTTTGGGAACCCTTAGGAAGTCATTTCTTCAGGTTCAGTTCATTGGGTGTATGTGTCGCCTTGTCCTATTTTCAATGTTGTGAAGCACTTAGAGGCAAAAAGTCTCCATCTGTGACCTGGACTGGAAGGAATTCCTTCATTTTAGTTTGCCGAAAGTCGACGTGAGAATGATCACGTTTCAAGGAATCACGTTGAAATATGAAAGTGAAAATGTTCTTGTCAAAACATGAAAATCATCACGTAACAACGTGATACGGAACTTTTTGTTTCTGGCATGGCGGCAGAACATGTCCGTATGTTGGAACAGAAATTCAGAGAGACCGGACGGGTCACAGAAAGAAGAGCGACATGCGATGTAGGGGCTTTCTTCTGTTATCTTTCCATCATCTTGTCTATTTCTTTTTTCTTTTGGTGGTCGTCAGGCTCGGAGCAGCGACAAGAAGTCCGAATTGTTGCCGTCGGACTGGAGCGGCAACAAAGTGGAATATGCCCTGAGGTACGCCTCGGAGCAGGGGGACGCTCAGCTGTTACTCAAAGCGCTCTTGGTTGATTCGGCGCTCGTCTTCAACCTCATGGTAGGACGTCAGCGTTGTCATGATGGATTAGGGTTGCAAAATTTGAGGAATTTTCCAAGTTAGGGACTTTCCATGGGATGTAACGTGGGATGATATAATTGTCCCAATTTCAGCCTCTCAACCATCATTTCTCAGATTCCAATTTGTAGCGACGCCAGTCGAGTGAAGCGCGACTCAGCAGTCGATAGTCCGCTGCTCTCCGCTGCGCGCGTGTCATCGCGGACGTGTGCGCACGCGCGTCTTTTGGCTTCACCCAATCAGTGCTGACGCAACGGACGTTACGCATCAAAGAGCTTTGTTCGACGACAAAAGCTAAACTAGCCTAGCCACGACAACAGCACCACGCTCGAGGTGGGACGGACACGCTCTTTTTCGTAATCTGGATGTTTTTCCTTTTTCCTCTTTCTGTCCAAATATATAGTTTTCGACTACAATAGTAGTCTCGTCCACGACGTCTGTTTTTGTTCCACTGGGGTTTAGCCAATGTGTTTATAAAGAGACTGAAATCTCTTTAAATTGACCTTTGCGAAAGCAGACTGTTAGTTTATCTTGGTGTTGAATTCAAAGATGACATGAGCAAATATTCGCTTTTACTTTGGAAACATTACTTCTGTCCCAGTGTGGGACAAATAAAGGATATCTTATCTTATCTTATCTTCTGGAAAGTGTTACGGACCTAGCCAACAGCTGAATCATAATCCATTTATCTTTGTGTCAGTTTAAAATACAGTCATACCTTGGTTTTCGACCATAATCCGTTCCAGAAGGCTGTTCGAAAACCGATTTGTTCGAAAACCGAAACCCCGCTTTAAAAAAAAAAAAAAAAAAATCTTAATTGAACACGTCTGTTCACAATGGAACGCTCCACGAGGAAGCATCACTTCCTCGCGTAAGGAAGGCGAGAGGAGTCAAGTGACGCATTCAAGTGTGCCCAGTCTGTTTGAGAACCGAATTCGGTCGTCATCCGAGGCATAAAAAACTCGAACTTTTTGGTCGAAAACCGATTTGGCCGAGAACAGAGACGTTGGAAAACCGAGGTTTGACTGTACTGTCCCATTCCTCGATAATCAATTGGGAATGAAACATTTTTTGCAACATGGATAAAATTGGACGCATCTCACTCGCGAGCTATTTTAAGGCCAGACGTCAACAACATTCCTGCCCCTCGCCAACATCATGTGTGAATTTAGATTTTTATTCTCTCTCTATTTTGTTTTTAATCCAATGAGAACTAGGTCACAGATGTAGTTGTTGAAAAAAATGTTTGCTCTAAGTCCCTTTTGTGTTTGTGAAGAACCGCAGCACACAGCAGAGCTCGGACGTGATCGTCAACCTCAACGAGCACGTGGATGCCGCCCACCTGCGCACCTTCGACAGGTGACTGCCACTTTGGGGCCATTTGATGATCCCATGATGTCCTTTTGCCTTGCAAAGTGGCCCGTGGTTTTTGTTTTGGGTTTTTTTTTTTTTTTTGTGTGTGTGTGTTCAGAGTGTTCAAGGACGCGGGCGGTCTGGTGGCGGCCATTCGCTCTCGCCTGCTGCCGTCGCGGGACAAACGGACGCAAGCGGAGCAAAGCGAGCGGACGCGCAGGCTGGACAGCCGCGACGACGACAACCTGGATGACCCCCTGCGGGTCCCCGACAGGCACCCCCGACACGCCACGCAGCCACACTGGTACGAGGGAAATCGGCGCCCTTTCCGGGATGACAATTCAAAGTCGCCACGGTGACGAGCTTTGTCAGCACGCGCGACGTCCGCGACGCGGACAAATGTATTAGGACGACGTCTCGTTGTTGGCGTATCGGCCGTCGCCGTTGGCAAGTTCACTTTTCCGCCAACTTGCCGCCGCAGAACTTTGTTGATGTGAGATGAGGAGTTTCATTCAGACAAAAGCGGTGCTTTGCCATCATCTTGCGACACGCTCGTGCCAAGGGAGTGTGTCGACATGGATCGGGGAGTTCCGCTTTCACAAACGTAGTGCCTCTCCGCCCCGACTGTGGCATCAGGGTGCCAGGGGAACTATGTTGACCGGAGTTGCGGAGTTTCATCTTGGTAAAAGTAGTGCTTTGTTCCCACTCTGTGGCATGTTTTCACCATTCCAAACCGTTTTAAGTGCATTGGGTCAGTTCCTCGCATATGTTTGCAGCCCCCCGTGAGTTTCTCCCTCATCACTTCAACTTGGATTCCCTGCCATCAAGAGGCTAGAAGAGGGTGCCAAAGCGCTACTTTTACAGTAGATGAGGCAGGTCTTTGTTAGGGTCAACAATGAAGGGGTGAGATATTTGGGAAATGTTCCACCCAAAAAATAAAAAATAAATCTCTTCCAACTGTAAGCTAATGCCTCAAAGGCACGGGAGTGACAAATATTGGCACGCGAGCAAACGTTGGACGACAACAGATGATGCGGCAAGTCTTCCAAGACAATGTTTCCTAATTCCCGCAGACGTGCGCGACATCTTGGAGAATAATGTCCCGAGCCCTTTTCCAACATCCACTTTGCCCGTGCCCCGCCACGACTTGCTTAGAATTCGCCAATTTTCTTCCCTCGTCGCCTCCTGCACTGTCACGCGTCCCATTACTGTTTTAGTGGGCGCGGCGACGGGCTTTGGCGCCGTCACGCCAATTTGGTCACTTGACGGCATCCCGTCACGTGTGTTTTTCAGGCTCGATCCCATGGCGCCGCCGTTCTCGGTGGGAGGCGCCGATCTGGATCCGTTGGGGTGAGTCACCTGCTTGCCGTGTCACACCCAGATGACCTCTTCAAATTAGGATTAGTTTTTCAAGTTCAAGCAAATTTCCCCCCCCCCCAAAATTAGCTGACTTTGGTCTCTCGTGGAGTGCGCCAAATACTCAGCAGTCAAAAGTTGTGCTTGCAATCCACATCTTTATTTTTGTAAGCATCATGTGATTAAAAACAAAAGAAGTTCCTGTATTCATGAGATATGTAATCAGTCTATTGATGGATATCAGAATTTGACTCTGCCAAATGAACATGTTGCATGACGACAGTCGGCGCCTTATCTTACAGGCTCACCATAATTTGATTTCACTTTTTTGCCGTCTTAATATTTTGGTCCAATTTGCAGAATTTCCACACTTTTTCATTCTGGTGGAGTTACCGAAATTTTCTTGCCAAATTCTGCATTTTTCTTCACTTCTTCCCCAATACTTTGATCCAAATTGCCACCATTTTTTTTTTCATTTGCATCCTGTAGTGGGTGTCCCAAATGTTTATCCCAAATAACACTTTTTCTTCAACATTGTCCTTCCCACACAATTTCATCACGTTTCCCTTTCGAATGATTCTTCCCCCCCCCCCCAGCAAGTTTATCCAATTCAAGACAATTTCTTGACATTGAGCTTCAGTTTTCCAAAGGAAGGTCCCATTCTTGTCCCAATACTTAAGTTGAACTCGGCCCACCGCCTTCCTGCACGCGTGCCAATATTTGAGTTTGTCCCGTTGTCCGGCCCTCCCAGCAGGTCCGTGTCAGGCGGCGGGATGATGGTCGACCCTCTGCGGATGGGCTACCCCCGCTCGGGTTTCGACCCGTCCAGCGGCATCCCGGACATCCTGCCCCCTGGCGCCGTGCCGCCCGGCGCCCGCTTCGACCCGTTCGGACCCGTCGGACGCCACCGGCCCGGGTGAGACGCGCCGCCGCCGCCGCCGCCTCGCTCGCTCGCTCGCATGTGCTGCTCGGCGAATGTTTTGTCTCATGAAAGGCCGGTCGTGTTCCCTCAGGCCCAACCCGGACCACTTGCACCCCCCGGGTTACGACGACATGTTCATGTAAGCCGCTTTCCCGGCTGCCGCTCGCCGCTTGCTGTCCTCGCGCCAATCAGAGCCCGGAGGGCAATCGGCAAAGTAACCAAACTTCGCAATTCGCCCAAAAGCAAGTCGGAATTGTTAAGAACCGAAACATGTTTTGGTGTGAATTTGGCAGGAAATATTCAAGGAAGAGGGAACTCGTAGGGCCCCATCGATATGGATTCTTTTTCTTTGGGACTTTTTTTGAGGCAGATTCTGTTTTCTGGCAGAATAAAAGTCCAACAGTCTAAAAAAAAAAAAAAAACTGACAAAAATAACTTTGTGGGTCCCTTCACGCTTAAAACGACGACATGAAGTGCAGGCAGAGCATTTGACTGTTTAACAAACGTTGTCCTTGAGTCATTGTTTAGCTTGACCACGTGGGCAAAATCAGCCCAAAACCATTTTGGGGGGGCCCGGGGGTTGGTTATTTCTTTGAATGTCATTATCGTTGTCTTATGTTGTCATGTAAGTAAACAATCGGCAGATTTTTGCACATCTCAAAACAGATCATGATTGGTGATTATTCAATGTGTAATATGCCCAAGTAAATATGTAAATTATCGCTTCAAAAAAATGTGTGAATGTCCTTTTCGATAAGGCAACTTTTGTTTCAAAGTGTGTCACGATCAAGGATGACATCCCGGAAGTCAAACTTCAACGTCAGCATTTTGCCTTGGAGCTCATTTAACGCACATAAAACAATGACAACAAAAATGCCACTTCTCGTGTGTCACCCAAAAACTTTGCCCAAACCAAAACGTTTTTGTGTCAAAAGTTGACATTTCTTCAATTCTTATGTCCATGTTACCACAATTTCTATCTTTTTTATTTTCAATTTTGCCACTTTTTTTTTAGTCCCGTTTCCCAAATTGTCTTCACTTTGGAATTGTAGTCGATTCGCCAAAACCTTTGTCCAAATGACAGCAATTTCTTGACATTTTCTTCACGTTTGTGTCCCAAACATTTGTCCTAATTCACTTTTTCTTCTCTGTAGTTCCCTTTCTGTCGATGTCCCGATATTTTTGCCCCATTCCACCTTTCTTCACTTGAGTTGAAATGATCACAATTTCTTCACGTTTGCCTCCCCGGTTGCACATTTTCTGCACTTTGTTGCATCAAGACTTTCATTCAAATTCTGCACTTGCTTCATTTTTGCGTCCCAAGACCTTTTTTTTTGAACCCAGCGTGCACCTTTTCCGAATGTTTACCTCGCAGCGGGCGGGCGGGCGTCCCAAGACCTTTTAGCCCGCCCGACGTCATGTATTGGCCCCGCGCCGGCGAAGCTCGCGGCCAAGTCGCTTTGCCGGCCGAGGCGTCACTCGGCCGGCGGCGCCGGTCCCGGTTGCTCGGTCTCGGCCGGCGGGTCCTCCCCGGCGGCGAGCTGCTTCATCCTCATGTTGACGGAGCCGTACGTCCGCTTGGGCCGGAGGAAGGGCGCCCGCCGGCGGCGATGCGGGAGGAAGATGGCGTGGCCCCGGCACACGGAGGCCGTGAGGAGCAAGGAGAGGAAGACGCCGCCCAGGGTGAGCAGCCCCAGGCCGGCGATGATGCACTTGTCCAGGTGCGAGCCCAGCCGGGCGTAGTACAGCTCCAGCTGCTCCATCTGCCGGGCCGGCACGGCGTCGCGGTCCACGCGGGCCTCCCTGGGGATGGCGTAGGCCACCAGGACCAGCGAGACGCCGCTCAACAGCAACACCACGGCCAAAGCCAGGCCCGCGTCGGACGAGCGGCGACCGCCGCCGCCGCCGCCCGGTGCGGTCCAGTCAGCATTGGCATCCCGGACCGCGTTGTCGTCGTCGTCCTCATCGTCGCAAGGCGGAACGGCCGAGTCCTGAAGGAGACAAACAAATGTTGATCCGCTTTTATTTGCTTGCGCTATCCCAATACTTTTGTCCACCTTTCCTTCCAACATCACTTCCTGCATGTGATGCAACATACATCCTCATCTTGGCTTCTCCTTTGCATCTTTGTTTTCGATTACGACTCCCCGGGGCCTCCTCCCGGCGGGCTATGCCCGGACCCCCTCACCAGGGCGACGTCTGAGATGCCCGAGCCACCTCAGCCGGCTCCTCTCAGAGAAGTTGCGGATGGACTCTGAGCCCCTCCCGAATGAGCAAGCTTCTCAGCTCTCGGAAGGGAGAGCCGGCGGGGCAAACTCATTTCGGCCGCTCGTATCCGGGATCTTGATTCCTCAGTTACAACTGACTCTTTTATTTCTGAGCCGAGCGTGACTAATCTCTTTCTATCTAGCTGTGTGTATTTTTAAAAAAAATGAAAGAAGAACCTTGCAGCTTCTTGAGGTGGTCGGAGAGCAACCCGTCACCTCCTGGTGCCGTTGTTGCTCATGGTCGGGCTGGTAGGAAGCATTGCGGAATCCTCGGCAAACGTCGCTTGCCTTGTTAGCGTTCGGCAGCTCGCGGAGCTCTACGATTTCCAGTGATGAGTCCATGGAAATGCGGTTGTGTCGTTGCGACTCCTCCAATCAGCATCTTCCTCACTGGACACAATGACATCATTGTTATGATCATTATTAGAGAGATTTAGTCCTCTTTGTTTTACACTCACTAACAAGTTTCTAATTGGTTTCCTAGACAACATGAACACTAGCCCCCAATTTTCTCCCATTTTTTCCCCCCTTCTAGCAGGGGTTTAACTTATTTTTCACTTGAACATTAGAATTTGAGCTCATTCTGACACAAACACAAAAAACAGATTTACACTTCCTTATATATTGATGAAATAATCATTAAATCAAAAAATAATTTCAAATCTGTTAAAAAAAAAATATATATATATATATATAATATATTATATATATATACACACACACACACAATTTTTACGTGGTCTTTCAATAAACGTGAAATTATGACAACATAGTGAGGCCTCCAACCTCAAAAGCAAAGACGACCACCCACCACCTTGTCACCTCTCACGCGCCTGCGTAACGGGCGGAAGGCGCGCGCGACCTTGCGACGATGTTCACTTGACTCCACACACACGCGCGCGCACGCACGCAGGGCTGGGCCGCGCCTGACGAGCATCCAATTCAGACATGATCAATCACACCCCGAATTGGGATCATGATAACCGGATGAAGAAAAAGAAGAAGAGGAGAGCGTTTACCTGGCGGCAGGCAGGCAGCAGAGGAAGATGGATGGACGACAAGAGGACGACCAAAGAGCAGACGGAAGGGGGACGACAGCGCGGCAACGCGCATGAGCACAAGGGGCAGACGCGGCACTCTGTTGTACCGCGGCTGGCCGCTAGAGGGCACGTTCGCGCACCGACTCAAAGGACACTTCGGATCCTTCAAAGCAGTCCCAATTTTTAAATCTGCTTTGAGGTAGAAATGACCTGAACGAGTAACAGAGCAACACAGGAAGGCTCTGCATTTTCGCAGTTTAATATTTTATATTAATTTAATGATGTGATTTCGAGCCTGATTTGAGTTTCTCCACGTGATTTAAAAAAAAACATTTGGCTTATTTTTATATTGACATATTTACATTTTTAATATATACAAAATGTAATGAAACGTAGGAATTTATCATATTAGTCTTTATCGTTTAAAGGCCAAATTGAGCTTCACAATTTTTAATTCTATTTGAATTATGTTTGTAGACTTCATGACAAATCAAATGTTTTAACATACAAAACGATGTATGAGGATAGATCAACATGTTTTCAATATATCGCGGTCATATAAAATGAAGACAAATGTGAGTTTTCTTTCACACTTCTTCTTCACATAAAAAAATTAAATGTGTAAATGGTTTGCTTTTATGTGAATTAAGAGCAACGAGAGGTTGACTAAAGCTTCCAGGGAAAATTACGGTAATATTCGGCTAAATATATTGCCACTATTACTACAGCATTGGTCCAATCACTTCAAATACACACATTACTTTGTGCATTGGATTTCAATTTCACAAATCAAACTACAAAGTCACACAACAGATAAGATCAAGATAAAGTTCAACACACTTGCCAAACACATGTGTAGATGCTACACAAACATAAACGAGCAAGAACACAGAAATAGTCGAGGAGATTCCAACAACAAAAATAAAAACAAAAAAGTTTTACAAACTTCTGAGGACAATAGCGCCAACGTCATAATTTGGGCTCACAGCTAGAACAAATAACACCAAATCCTACATGTACATGCTAATCTCAGCCTCATAGTTTTCCTTGACTCAAGTGGAACAACAAAAACATACACTTTTACATAAGTTTACACAAAACCTATAAAGACCTTTTGCAGTCTCGCAAAGACATTAACACATTCATAATTAACAAACATTAGCGTGCTAGCATTAGCTCCATGTGACCAGTTGTGTCAGGGTTAGCATTAGGTGGGTAATGACAGTTTACATGTATCAGAGTTAGCCTTAGCTTTAGTATGAGAAGTCACATTAGCTTACAAGCGCTATCTCAGTAATAACAAGTCACGTTAGTGTGCTAGTGTTAGCTCCACAGCAACTGGTCATGCGACATAATTAAGTCGGTAATGACCTGTGATGTTATTTTGACAGCTAACATTACTTTTCTAAGAGTCCTGTTAAGGAGTTAACATTAGCCCTGTCATGTCCAATCACGTTAGCAAGCAAGCGTTCTTTTCACAGTGACTGGTCATACCCGTCAGCTCAAGCAATGACCAGTAACGTTATATAACCATAGCTAACAGTCATGTTAAGGTGTTAACGTTAGGTCTTTGATTCACAATCCTATTAGCGTGCTAGCACATTTTTGATGGCAGCCACTTGGTCAGTGGCTCTGCCTCTCCGACACAACGTCCTGCAGCCTCTTTAGCAAAATGTCGGGGCCACTAGCGCTGTTCTCGGGACACGCCCGCTTGCTGGGGGAGTCACATGCTGACGATATCATCAGCTCGCCCTCCATGCCGAGGGCTCTTTTGCGGCCGTTGCAACCTTGACGCAGCATGCGGTTGATGTCAGACAGATCCTGAGGTAGAAAGGAATGAGTTAGCATTAGCACGGCGGGACTAGGCTTGTATGCTATCACAAAAACTAACATGAATGACAAAATGACTCTTCATTTCAAGTTTTTTTTGTACTGCACAGAGAAAAATATATAACTTAGAAATCTCCCTCCAAAAAACAAAACAAACAAAAAAAGATAAAATGATTTCCCACTTAACGATTTACCCCCCCCAAAAATTATTTCCCCAAAAAGTCAATGTCCCCAAGTGAAAGAAGCACATCTCAGGACTATTGTGTTCTTCTGGGACTACTACCTTGTCTCTGGACTATAACCTTCCGTGTGGATTAGTAGCTTGTTTGTGATGTGAGATGAGCGTACCTTGGAGGGGCTGCTGTTGATGCGGAAGGTGAAAGAGTTTGGGGCCAGGCCTCCCGCCGACGCTTTGTGGGGCGACACGTAAACGCTATGACGCTGAGACACTCGGCGAGGAGACGGCGGGTGGCAACGCACTGAAGGGAACGGAGACATGGGCGGGGCGTCCATCTGACGCACGCGCACAGCAATACACAACACGCACATAAACCACAAATGCATAGAGTAACACACAAGGACACACATGCAGACACATGACGACAAGTTAATTTCAAGTCATTCAACTGAATTGTTGCGCACGCGTGGTGGTGTGCGGGTACCCTGTTGTCATGCGTAGCATATCTCATGGCAAAACTTTTCATCTTGATCACATAGACGTTGTTGTAAAACTGAATCAGGTCGCCGCGTTCCTCCTCGCCCGCTTGCGTCGTCTCGGTAGCTGCAAAAAGGAGACGTTAATGTCGAGAGTGCGCGGTCGGGTTAGCGTGCTAGCCTTAGCACGTTAGCTTACATTCTGCTCCAGACGCAGGATCAACCTCCATGTTTTCGTCTGTTAGCGCACCCTGCGGTCTGGGAGTGCGATGCAGGAGGACACTGCGATACACCTACAGACACGCGCACAACACAACAGTGGGCGCACACATACAAGCGTGTCACCATGGCAACAGACGGGTGACTGCCTGCGGGCTGCAGGTAGGTGGGCGCGCCCTCACATGGCTGCTGGCCTGCGGTTGGCTGCGGTAACACTTCATGATGTCCTGGAACGTGTGCGCCTCCTTGGTGATCTGCGGCAGGAAGCACACCGATAACCGCGCGTTAACATTCCATTCGGTCGCTCAATGCTAACATTAGTTCCGCACCAACGAATCACATGAGCGTGCTAGCATTAGCTCTCGAATGACTACTCACATTAGCGAGCAAACATTAGCTCTCGGGTGACCAATCACATTAGCCTAATAGCATTAGCTCCCGAACGACGAATCACACTAGCATGGTAGAATTAGCTAGCTAACGACAAATTACATTAGCGTGCTAGCATTGGCTCTGTGATGCTCAATTATGTTGAGTGTTTTACGAACTCTACTGAACAGTAAGTATACAAAGTTATTGAGGGAGGAAGAGAGCATGTGTGTGCAAGTTTGTGTGAGAGAGCGTGTGAGAGAGCACGCGAGAGCGCGTGTAGCAGACTGAGCGTGTGTGTGAGCACGGGAGGGTGGCCAACTTTGGCGATGATGTAGACAGTGCAGAGCAGCATCTGGTCCAGGTGCCGGTCCCTCATGAGTTGGGTGGCATGAAGCAGAGCGTGTTCAAAGGCTGTCCAGATCTTTGCACGCAGCTCCGACGAGATGTCCAGTCGGGCGCACAGATCGCGAAGGCGCACGCTGGCCAGGTGGTACACCTACCATGCACACGCACAGGTCAGAGGTCAAAAGAGCAGATGCCTCGAGTCTCCAAGCGGCCCGCCGCCGACGTCGTTTTCACCTTGCGGAAGAAAAGTGCCAGGGATCCGGTGCGCTGCGGCCGGCCGCTGGCCGGCTGGGCGTTGGCGGGTGCGGCGACGGGCGCGGGTGCGGGAAGGGGGCGGCCGGGGGATGCTGTGAGCAGGAACTGAGTGGGGCCGCCGGCCGATGGATCGCACGGTTGGACGGGGATCAGCGTGATGGTGTGCTCGCTGCCGCCGCCTGAACGCACGCATTAGGGAGGCCACGCATTAGGGCTGGCACCCGCCAATCGCTTTACCGTCGATTATTCCATCGATTAACTGAATAAGTCGATCAGATTTGAGGTTGTGTTCGAGGGTCGTGGGCGTGCCAGAGCCCATCCCAGCTGTCTTCACCGCATTTGTTTCTGGGTTTTTTGAGGTGCGTGCTCATTCCCCGTTTTTCTTTTTGAATTCAATTTGTCACATTGGGTGCGACTCCCACCTTGCAGCGGGATGCTGAGCACGGTGGTCTGCCCCGCCTGCGGGCCGATCTTCAAGGTGCCGGCAGAGCTGAGCGTCAGGCGCTTGGCGGGTGACGTGAC